CCGGCTGGTGGCCCCCAGGGCGCTGAGGGCGCCTGGCGAAACAGCCGCAGCTCCGCGCCCACCAGCTCTTCTTTGTCTGAGAGCATGGACACATCAAACAAATACTTCTGTCTCCGGAGAGGAGTGTGCGAGAGATCGTCTGCGAGATAAAAAATAATTACAGTCAGTTTCACTTAAGGGGGAGATCAGCCCGGTGCTCTTCGGCCGCCCCGGGAGGAAAAGGGCGGGGAGTGGGGGCAGGTCGGCCAGGGAGTCCAGCTTGCCCGGCCCGGGGCCTGACCACCCCGGCTTCCCATCTGGCTGGTGCATGGCGCGGGGAAGGGGGCGCGCCAGGGCAGGCCCCCTCCTCCGGGTCTGCTCCGGACTCTCAGGGCGGAAGTCGGTGGCTGCTGGCGAGGCGGCGGCGGCCTACCGTGTTTTCCCCCCCAGAAGGCTTCGTAACCACTAATGTGTCCTTTGTGGTCTCGAGCCTGGGCCGTGCTTCCCCCAGACCTTCTCCAGGCTGGGCTGGCTGGTGCTCGTTCACGTCTCAAATGTCACCTCCTCCAAGTAGCCATCCCTGACCACCCTGATCTAAAGTAGCCTCTCCAGGTCCCTATCACAGGACTGGCTTGATTATCTTCCCAGTACTTAGGATTATCTACAATTACCTTGTTTATTTTTATCTCGTTAGTAGTCTGCCTTTCCCAGAAACACTCCGCCCGCCTCCACCAGCCCACAGGAGCTAGGCCGATGTCATAGTCCGCCTTGCTCCCCTCAGTGCCTAGGGCGGTGCCTGACCTGGAGCACACGCCCCTCGGTTAAGTGGGAAACTTCTACCGCAGTGAGTCTTGATCTGGCTCACTAAAATGTCCTGGAGAACTGAAAAACTTCCAGGGCCAGGGCTTGATTCAGCCTATTGAGTCAATGTCTAAGGACAGGACTGGGCATGGGGTTTTTTTTTTTTTTTTTTTTTTTTTTTTTTTTTTTTTTTTTGGTTAATTCCAAGATGATTTAAAGGTGCAGTTCTAGTTTAGACTCACTAGTCTGGGGTAACACTGCTGCCCATCAGGCGGTTTGGGTGGGTCCAACAGTGCAGGCAGAATGAAGAGCTGGTGAGGGATTTATTTATGTATTCACCAATCACTAAACAACAAACAAAAGAGCAATGAAGTTTCAGAAGTATTGGGGACAGGGGGTGAGAAGTGAACAAACACACCTTGCGTCTGTCCATTGAGAACATCCTGCAGTCAATGAGAAAAATATATACCTGGAAGGCAGAAAACCTCAGCCAGGGACAATTAGACACACACACACACACACACACACAGAGAGAGAGAGAGAGAGAGAGAGAGAGACTTTCCCATCTCTCCTCCCACTTCCAATCTAAAATTCTCTCGCTTTGCAACTATTCCTGAAGATAAAAGGTTTGGTCATAAGTGAGAAAAAGAAATTTAGGACAGGTGAGGTAGGGGAGTATAACAGGCTTTTAAAATCCAAGGCAAATTCTTCAGAACCAAGGCAAAACTGGACTTCTTTTTTGACACATTTGTGCACGAAGCCAACTCCACTTCAATGTGCAAGGCGGAAAGCTAACCAGATTTTTCTGGGCTGCCTTCCCATAAAATATTTACAACCTAGCAAATACAAAAATCCCCAAAGCCCCCAGCCTTCCCCAGAAGCTAGTAAAGTTTGGGTCGATTTCAATAGTAAAAGTGTCACTGGGCCCAGCATCCAAGCCTCTGTACCAGTCCAGATGTAGCCCGGGGGCGCTGGCTCTGGAGCCTCAGCCACACCCAGTTTGTACTCGGGGCTGACCGTAGCATTGTCTGGTTCACTCTTACACACATGCCCCAACCTGAGATGGGGTGTGGGAAGGGTTAGAGAGGTGAAAAGGGAAAAGCTGCTGCAGGCAGTTGATTTATGGAAGCCAAGACCTTCAAACCGACCAGGGTCACATTAAAATCAGGGGGAATTCAGCACACTTTCTTCTCCTTCAAAGAAACCTGTGTCTGACAATGCTCAGCCACCACCCAGATCTCTGGACCTACTGCCTTAGGCTTGGCTTCCTGCCTCTCTCCCCAAACTAAGGATGAGATGAGAGCAACAAATCTAAGGCACTTGCTGCACTAGCTAAATGTTGTTAGGGATAACATATTTCTAATCTATATCCACCTGCACAGAACAGTTCTGAAAGGTAATTACTTGTATTATTCTCATTTTACAGATGAGAAAACCAAGGATTGGAGAAATTAAGGTATTGCCAAAAGTCAGACAGCTAGAAAGTGATGAAGCTAAGAGCCACATTTATGTCTATTTAATTCAGAGTTGGAGCATTTAGCCCCTAAGCCCCATTGCCTCTCCACTGTAGTCCAGGTACTAGAGTCTAAAAGTAACCAGAAGTGGCCAGTGTATAAGGGGAAAAGAGTCCAAATTATTTGCAGGGCTTGCTAGGAATAAAATCTAGGCTCCCTTAGGAAATCATTTCCATCTTTGCTTACACAACTCTTGAGATAGTTTGCCACTGGCTGCAGTGCATTAGGCAGGTGTAAAGAATTATGATTTATTTCTCTCTCATGCAACATGGGAGAATCAGCCTGCTTTTGCTTTTACTCTTTTAAAATATATATATGTGGGCCAATAAATGATTAATTTGCACAGCTGAGTTAAAACTGAGGCAAGCATCTGTAGAGAAAGATCTCTTACTGATTCTGCAGCCTTAGGATTTCTGATGATCTTTCCAGCAAGACCAGCCCACCCCTACCCTTTCCAGGTTTCAGTGCAAGAATGCAAATGGGACTTCAGCTAATTATCTGTTCTCTTCCTACACCAGGTCTATCACCTACTTCAAGGGCCCTCACCTGTGTGCATGTGGCCACTCCAGCTCACAGCTTAAAGCTGTGCACAGTTTCACAGGTGCACACATCCGTGTTGTGATCTACCTTCGGGGAAACTGAATGGATGAAGAGTCTGTCCAGACCCTGCAAGTGAGCTTAGGGATATTTGGGCAAGAATTCTACAGCCCAGGTATCTGGAGCTTGGCCTGGAAAAGTGACTCTTAAAGCCACTAAATCTGCAGTGGTCTTTAAATCTGAATCGTCAGCATCTCATAAGCACTTGCTAGAAATGCAAATTCTCTCTGGCTCTAGAGGCTTGTGGTAGGGTCTAGAATTTGCATTTCTAGTAAGCTCCCAGATGATTCTGATACTGCTGATCCAAGGAATTACTCTAAGAACCACTGATCTTAGTGGGGGTTGTCCTCTAGGTTCTTTGAATTCACAACCAAGTAGGGAGGAGCACCAAACAAGGTGCTGCAAAGCATAGGGCCAGGGCAGCATCTAAGGCAGTACTCACCAGGACCAAGTCAATTCTACCTCTCCCAGCCCATTCCTGGCCCCCAAAGCGACCCCCATTTTTTTATCCTTTCAGCCACAAGTTCTTTCCCCGGGTCTCCAGAACCTCTAACCCCTAAACAGAAGATCCAAGAAGGTGGCTCCTCTGTGCGCCTCCCCTGCAGACCACATTCCCCACCTGTCTAAACCTGCATCACAGAAATAGCTCAGAGGAGGCATCCAATCTGGGAATTGAATATAACACCATGCACTGTTACCCTGAAGACACTTCCCCTGCTGCATGCTGACCTGGCATCACAGAGCCTGGCTCAGCTGCCATGAGCCATCTGTGGGCAAAAAGCCAGTCCTTCATACTCCCTTCCACAAGCCTCCTCTCCCATTAAGTCTTGTATAAATGAAGACTGATGTCATCAAATGATCCTCTCTCCCACCCCTTTGACTAAAAAAACATGCACTTATCACTTCAAAATCTGTGGCACTTTCCCACATCCTGGAAGTGAATCCTATGCTTTGGGCCCTTAAATTGAAATTGACCAGAAATACATGGTGGAAACTTTTTATTTCCCTTTTACTTTGCATCAACCTGGTTTGTTACAGCTTATTCACACCTCTGCTAACAGTGTTTGCTGAATATTAGACATACAAACATTTCCAGTTACAATTGCTGGATTTGGGCTTATCTTCTTTCCCTGGCAGGTGCATAGAGAAGGGAGGGGGAAGAGAGAAAAATAAGAAGGAAGGAACAAACCGTGGCATATTAGAAGATACTCCTTCATAATGGTCAACAAGTTGGTAAAAGGCTGAAAGCACTTCAAACATATGTTTCTGGTGTAGAATTTAGGAAAAATTTAAAAGAGGGGAGATGTTGATCAAAGGGTACAAATTTTCAGTTAGGGTGAATATAAGGTAAAAAATAAAATTTTAATTAAAAAAAAAAGAAACCAAGAGAAGAAATGGTATCTATTTGCAAGGTGAGTACCATTGCTCCCATTTTAAATGAGGAAGCTGGCTTAGAAAGGAAAAGGGCATCTGTTCACGGTCACAGTACATAGTTGGAGAAAGTTGGAGTCGCAAACTCCAGAGCGGAAAGGAGAAGATGCCCTCAATGCCAAAGGCCAGACGCCCGGGAACCTCAGCCCCAGGAGGGCGGCATGAGGGAGCGACACGCAGCTGCAGGACTCTGTGCGCCTGCCCACTCCAGGCTGCCCACTCCAGCCCCAGTGCCTTCTGCTGGGGGCTACTTCCTTGAGCTAGCCTGTAGAGGGTTTCCAAAAACCAGAAACTTCCTTTGGTTGGAGGTGGGAAGGGCCCGGCATTGCATTTTCCCAAGACATCTCTGAGATATATACTCAGTTTGAGGTGACTTTTGAGAGTCCTAGTTGGATTTTGTCACTTGCCTGGCTGTGCAGCCACGGTTCCAGCTCTCCAGATTTGCAGGATTCTTGGCACGGCTGACTTTGGGTTTCACGAGATTCCTCCGCGCGCAACTGGCTCTCATCTCTGAGTACGCAGTGACCCCGGACAGTTACTGGTCAGGCGTCCCGCCACGCCTCCCAGCCATGTTCTCCGGTGGCACAGGCCCCGCGACTAGGCCACTGTTCAGAAAGTCGAGAAGATAGTGGACTTTCCCACCCCCAACCCCCAGGCAGGGAGAATCACCCATCTTTGCAAGAGAAACTCTAGGCACCTTTCCCTTATCCCCTCATTTTAGAGCTAGCAGCAGCATTGAGCGCTTGTAGGGCACCACCTTTGTGCTAGGCACGTGCTCAGAGCTTTAATGGTCTCTCACTGAATCTTCACAGCGAAC